TGCCCCTCGCAGCATGCAGCCCGGGGAGGACGGGGGGTGAGCAAGGGTGAGGCCGGCGATGGAAGGAGCCGGAAGGGCGGCGGGTGGGCTGTGATGGCGGGGCGGGGCGCGGGCAGAGGGAGAGGCATTACCCCATGAAGCTCCTACCGGAGTCCAGCAACGGGAAGACAAAGAGAACAGAGTCAGTGACGCGGCGGGACAGGCGGAGGTGTCCGCCAGGCGCAGCCCTCCCGTGGGCTCGGAGCGACGAAGACCCTTCCCTCCGTGTCTGTGGCTGCCTCTGGCTCTCCCCTCACAAGAGCTCTGGCGTCTCCTCACCCCCAGCTCCAGCTGAGCCCCGGCAGCCTCCGCGAGGGAGCCAGCTCCAGCCACAGCAGGGCTGAGCATCACCCGCCAGGGAGGCTGGGGGCTCGCCTGACTCCCCAGGAGGGGAGCATGAAACCCGCTCCGGCTGGGGCGGAAACCCTGGCGGTCTCCCTGGGCTGGGCACTCGCCTCAGAGCAGGCGAAGCTGCCCTGAAGGACCCCGCGAGGCAGACGCTGAACGAGCCAGATGCCTGCGCGCCCGATCCCGGAACCACAGGCCAAGTGAGCCACGGACAGGCCTCGGGCCTCCTAACCCCGTGAAGCCCTGCCCCAGCCGCAGGACGGTCCCGGACGGGCGGCTACGGAGACGCCGACAGCCCAGGGAGGCCGGCAGGGCGCGCCCTCCTTCCCGCACCTCTCAGCCCCCGTCACGGTTCTGGGGATGGTGCCCCGCCAGATGCAGAGCAGACGTGGTTACTTACGAGAAGGCAAACGCCACCAGGGCCCCACTGACCACAATGAAGTCCAGAATGTTCCACAGGTCCCGGAAGTAGGCCCCAGGGTGAAGCAGCAGCCCCAAGTCGATCATCTTCGGGGAAGAAGCACACTTTAGGGTGCGGAAGAGTCCAGAAAAGAGAGGCCGGGCCAAGCCCCAGAGTCAGGGGGCGAAGACTGGGGCTAGGTCACACCCTCCGGCAGAGGCTGCGTGTGGCTGCTTGTGCACACGCAGGCCCGGGGGCCAGACCTGGCCCAGACCCGCTGGAGGGAGCGCCGCGACCTTCGCGCATACCCTGGCTCTGCCGCCCCTAGTGCTTTGGTTCTGGGCGAGCGCCGCCACCCGTCTCAGCCCCGGCTTCCTGGTCTGCAAAGGGGCATCATGACGCCACCCCACACAATTCTGTCAGCATGTGGAATGGTAGAGGAGATATGTTCATGCACCCGATGTGGGCGCTTCGCGTGGACGGGGCACACACCAAGCTGCCCTGGAGCCACGCAGGTGGCACATTCAACTGCACTGAAGGCACACTGTGCAAACCACACACGGGCTGCGGTCACATGCGATGGGGAGAGCCTCGCGTCATCACTCAGAAACAGAGAGCGAAGGCTGCAGTGGAGCCACAGACCTTCACCTGTCCCGAGACAGACACCAGGTCCCTTTCAGAGCGATGCCTTTGGGCCCTCTTCCTCTCTCAGGCCCCTTCTCCTCCACCCGACGTCACGAGACAATTCTGGGGACAAGCCGAGCCCCCACGTGCACGGGAAAGAAAGCCCACCACGTGTGTTCCAGGAGCCGAGTGTCCCGGAGACCCGGGCCCGAGGCAGGAACACCCCCTGCGCTGAGGTAGAGGGGGGAGGCCTCGGAGAAGGCCAGAGCCTCTCGTCCTCCAGAACACACCCCAGTCACACACAGCACACGCCCTCGTGTCCTCACACACGCTCACCGGACTCCTGCCCAGCACACACCCCCCCCAGCCCCCGAGCGGTGTCATGGCACTGCGGCTCTGCCCCCAGCCCGGGCCCATCTCCGTTCCGGGGGAGGGAGACAGTGTGGTGGGCAAGACCGCAGGGTCGCCAGGGCCGCCACGCCGCTCACCTTAATCACCATCTCAAAGGTGAAGACACCCGTGAAGATGTAATCCAGGTACTTCAGCGCCTGTGACCAAAAGCAAGGCTGTCCTCAAAGGCAGGGCTGGAAGTCTGAGCTGCGCATCTCAGGGGCTCTGGGCTTTTCCCCAGGCCTCCAAGCAGACACGGCGTCTGCCTGGGAGCCGGTGGGCAGTGGCTCAGGAGGAGAGACAGACGGGTGTCCCTCGGGGACAGGCCCCTCATGCAGCCCGGCCCTGACCCTGGTACGACCTGCCTCCTCCTGGCTCCAGACCTCCAGCCCCTCGCTGCCGACCGGGACGCGGGCAGCGTGGTGAGGGGTTCAGGGAGAAGACCCCCAGCCCGCCGCTGCCCTCGGGCCTCAGGAAGGCACCCGCCTGTCCTCCCTGGCTGGACCGGCCCGCACGGCTACTCACGTTGTTCCTGGGCGAGTCAGTGCGCACAGGGTCCTCGGCTGCCAGGGCAATGCTGCTCAGGGCGATGACCACGAGGATGACCATCTCGAAATACCGCATGGTCACAATGTAGTGGCAGCCGCGGCGGAGCCTGTGGGGGCAAAGCACGGGTTACACCAGGCCTGCGCCAAGCCCGGCTGCCCTGGCTGGAGAGCACGCCGGCCCAGCCCCGCAGAAGGCGCGCTCATGGCCACAGGGGATCACCCTGAGCCCTGCCTGGTTCACGGTCCGTGGTGGGAGCCGGCAGCCGGAGGCGCAGGGAGCCTGAGTCCAGAGAGGGCGCTGGGGCGGAGGGTCGGGAGGCTGCGGGAACCCGCGGCAAGGTCCACAGGCCTCTTGGCTGCCCTCTGTGTGGACTGTGTTTCACGGGAGCCCCGCGACATCCACTCGCCACCTGCCATCTGGCAGAGGGGCAGCGCGACCCACTCCGCAGCTCCAGAGCCGGCAGGGCTGACCGCCCCCCTTCCGGAATGGCAGGGAGGGTGTAGAGGGCAAGAACCGTCACACCAGCTTTCTGGAGAACGGGCCACTCTTGCCCTCGGAAACACCCTGGCGGCGCCGGGCTCCCGGGGCTACCTACAAGAGCGTGCAGCCACACGCCCACCTGCGCCTCACGCCAGTTGACGTGCACTGGCCTGTGCCACCCTGCTGAGCGTCTGCTCTGCTGGACGTGTGCAGGACACGGGGCACACAGCAGGGAGCTGGACAGGTGAGTCCCAGGCCTCACAAAGCTCCACGGCCACGGACAAGACACCAGTAAACAGTGTGGGAAAACCAACGGGAGACTCAAAGGCTGACAAACGCTGCCACGCAGAGCGACCTGGGGCTGGGAAGGCTGCTCTGAGTGGGAGGTGCGGACAGGAGCCCGCCGAGGGTGGAGCAGACGGGCCAACAGGCGATCCCAGCCGTAGGTGACGTGAGTGCCTGGGCCGTGTCTGCCTGCGCCCCCCCCCACCCCCCCGCCCCACCTGCGCGGGCACTCGCGCCCCCCACAGCTGCTCCCAGGCCCTCCTCTCACCAGCACCCACTCACGCCCGCGGACCATCCTGCCAGCGCCTCCCCACTCTCTCTTCCACGCATGCCTCCTCTCCCACTGACCTCTGCCACCTGCTCTGGCCCTCACGCCCACAGAGTTACTGGCCCCAGGCCTGCACGGCCGGCAGCTCATCCCTTGCCACTTCTCCTTCCTTAAAAGAGACACTTCTCCTCCTTTTTTTCTTTCTGAGCTGGAGTCTCACTCTGTCGTCCAGGCTGGAGTGCAGTGACATGCTCACGGCCACCATCAGCCTGGCTAATTTTGTGAGATGAGGTCTCGCCAAGTTGCCCAGGGGAGTCTTGAACCCACGGGCTCAGGCAATCCTCTCACCTCGGCCTCCCAAAGTGCTGGGATGACAGGGGTCACTGCATCTGGCTGATACTTCTTCTAATCAACCTAGCCACCATCTAGGGCAGGGTGGGCCCAGGTTTCCCCACTCGGCTCAGCCCCCAGCTTGGACCCCCAGCTTGTCCCAACTGCCCCAGGCTTTGCAGGGTCCGTGACCAGACTGCAGTTCCACCTGACAATCTCGGTGAACGCCAGCTTCTGCATGGCTGTCCAGCAGGAACGGCAAGTATCCCTGACACTGCCCTCCCTTCCACATCCAGTTCATCATCAAATTCTGCAGATTCCGCCTCCAACCCTTCTCCCCAAACCTCTCCACTCTGTGTGCCCTGGTCAAGTCACCACCTCCTCCTCCTAAAGCCCTGGCCACCTGGTCTCTGCGCCCCCTTCCTAACCAAGGGGCTCTGCTGAGCCGCAGTCCGACTGTCCCCACGACGTGGCCCTCTGCACGCCTCTCAGTGCTCTCCAGGGCCGGCCAGTCCTCACAGCCCACCCGGCAGCCTTGCTACCACTGTGCTTTCTGAGCCAACTCCGCCTTCGGCTGCGGGCGGCTTGCCGGCTTCTACTTCTGGGCCAGCGTAAATGCTCGACCAGCTCCTCCCTCTTCATCTGAACGCGAGTTCACCCTTCCAGCATCAGCCGAGACGTCACTCCCGCCAGGACCACGTCCCTGGCCTCCTCCTAGCTGATCCAGAAGTCAGCACCTCCCTGCCGCACCCAGTCCACACTGTGCTTCCTGGACGGGCCGTGGGCTCTCTCCTCACCACCCTGTCCGCTCTGGCCTGGCAAGGACCGCGCCTGCCACCGTAGCCGTTTTACTCTTGACCCCGGCACAGCAGAGCAAGCGCCAGCAGACGCGTGTTGAATGGCAGGACGACGGAGGAAGAGCAGACGGCGCTGGGCAGCGGAGGGCAGAGGCGGGCGGGACGCCCCAGAGACGGAGGGGCGTGCGGTCCACCTGCCCTCCGCCTCCTGCCAGACTGGCTTTCGGGGGGCTGCCCCTTCCTCCACCTCTCCCCTTGCCTCCCCTTCCTCAAGCCTCTCCTGCGGTCTCACCTCTGAGGCCACCGACCCTCCCCTCTGCGTCTCAGCAGCCAACAGCCTGCGTCTCCAGGCCTGGTCTGTGTCTCTTCCCAGCACTCACCGCAGGCTGACCCTTACGTCTGCCGCGTGCCCGTCCACCATCCGTCCCTCCCATCAGCACGTGAGCTGGGCAAGGCCAGGGTTTCTTGCTCGTGCCCACGCACCGGCAGCACCTGGCGAGCCGTCTGTGCTCAGTGCTGCTCGGGCGAACGGAAACACCTGGACTGACGCGTGGTGACAACGGCACGCGCCCAGGAGCGGGACGGAGAGACATGTGGACAGGCCCAGCGCGCACACGCATGCACATGGGCGGTGAGCATGACCGGAAGGTGGGTGGGTGGAGGCAGGCACGCAGGGTGGGGCCACGGGCCACGTGTGCGGAGACGAACAAACACCACGGGGCGAGGGAAGCACGGGCTCTGGCGCCGACGGACCGGCACCCCCAGCGCCCCTACGGCCGGCTGACTGTGCGTGGCAAAGACGCCGCGGCACTTCCTGCGCCTTTGTGTCTCATCTGCGAAACGAGGCCGCGCGGCATGCGCCTCGTAGGACCACCGCGACGCCGAAAGACGTTCGTGGTCGTCAAGTGCTCAAAGGTGTCCCAGCCAGGTGCGTGCCCAGTGCACCTGGCTGCTGAGCGCGCGAGGGCTACGGTGGACGGACGGACGGACGGACGGACGCACGAGCTGGCCACACGCGCGGCGGGTAAAGCAGACTCACAGGTTGGTGGGGCTTAGACAGAACATGGAGCTGTACGGCACGATGGGCCGCGGGCCGCTCCTCATCACATCCTCGGCCTCCACCTCCTTCTTGCCCTCTGCTTGGCTTTCCAGGTCCACGTTGCCACCTGCAAGGACACAGGGCCGCCGATCAGGGCCGTGGTGCCGGTGGGGCTCCCGGCTCCCAGGCCACAGGCCGGTGGGGAGGTCCTCACGGGCCCTCGGGGACAGACGAGCGGCCAAGAACACACATGACTGAGGCGGCGGCGGCCAGGACTGCAGCCAGGGCGGAAGACCTGGGGCTGCCTGCAGCAGAGACCCTCGCGGACCCGGCTCACCTTCTGTGCCAGGCGTGGGGTGGCCGCAGACCCCTCCGCCTCCCGAGGGCCTTGTCTAGCGGCCTGAGAACACCAAGGCCCAGCAAGACCAACCACGACCTCCGCAGGGACCTCAGAGCAGCACGCGGGAGGGGCAGGGCTGGCCTCCGGTCCACACGCCCCACACGCTCCCCGAAGCCCGCCGTCGAGTCTGGCCTGGCCAGGATTCTCTTCCTCAGGATTCTGGAAAGGCCTCGCCCCGCAGGGAGTTCCGAGGGACGTCTGGCCGGGGAGGACTGCCGGCCGGTCTCTGCGCAAGTCTGCCGTCTCGGGCTCTGGCTTGGCGCTCCGCTCTCCACGGCCCGGCTCCCCCCGCCCACCCTGGCTCCCGGACCACCTGGCTTTGCTCCCACAAACCCCTTTGCCCAGGGCTGGGGCCGCCGAACCTTGACGGTTCCGAGGCAGGCGCTGGCCTCGCAGCGTGTTTGTCTCACAGTGACGCTTTGTTTCTACCCGTCCCTACGTAGACTCGACTCCCGTGGGTGGCAGAGCTCCGGGGACCTCAGCAACATGCAGGAAGGCAGAGCGGTGCCAGGAGCCCCCTCCCACTGCTGCATCTTGTTTGGACTGCTTTAAAGAAACAGGCGCGTGAAGGGCAGCAAAACTGAGGTGTCTGCCCCCCCCGAGGCGGCTGTGGAGACAGAGTTTCCGCGCCTCTCTCCCAGACCGGAGAGAACCGTCCGGAGTCCTGCAGAGAACCGTCAGGCCAGAGAAACAGCCTGGAGCCAAAGGCAGAAACAGCTCAAGCAAAGCAGGACCAGCCCGCAGCACCAAGGCTGTCAGCTGCAACGCTGAGGAGACCGCCCCCACCCACTGGTTCAGGAGGCGTCACAGTGACCGCCGCCGAGATGGGCACCATCACGTTTCCCGGCTGAAACACAAATTAGATCATCTGAGAAAGCAACCTGGTAACACTTAAAGCCCTAAAACGTTACATTAACTTATAAGACATCTGCTGAGGAAGCTGAGCACACACACACACGTCTTCACAAAAGTTTCTTTCTGAATAGGAGTCTCACTCTGTCACCCAAGCTACAGTGCGGTGGCACCCTCACGGTCACCACAGCCTCGACCTGCTGGGCTCAGGCGATCCTTCCGAGTAGCTGAAACCACAGGCACGTGCCACCACACCTGGCTAATTTTTTGATTTATTGTAGAGACGAGATCTCGTCAAGTTGCCCAGGCTGGTCTCGAATCCTGGATTCAGGCGGTCCTCTTGCCTCTGCCTCCCAAAGCGCTGGGATTACAGATGTGAGCCACGGTGCCCGACTACAGAAGCTTTTATAAGTTCTTTCACAGTCACCAAAGATTGTAGGATGTATAACCACAGAGTGCCTATGTGACATATGCACTATTTATAGGAAGCACCATATTGTAGATATTTTGAAATGCCTAGAATTTAAATGGCATACAAAAGTGTTGATGATAAGGTAAAATTTTTTTTAAAGGCTAGAAACACTCTCATACCCAAGATGAGCTCAACTACAGAAAGTAACATCCACACAGGGAGAGAAGCAGCCCAGAATGTTAGCTGTATGATCACAGAATGGCTTTCTGACAGTAATTTTATTTCTTTCACTGTGATAAGGACACATTACTCCCAAAGTAAGAAATATTTCTTATTTAAAACCACACCTTTTCAGACTCCTCTACAATAACAATAAAGCAAGCCCAAGAATAAGCAAACCAGGAAAAAAGGAACCAGTCTGGACTCGTAGAAGAATTCCGTTACTTAAATGGAAGAAAGATGCCAGAGCCTAGATGGAACTACTCCTGCAATAGATTTATTACAACAAAATCATAGGAAAAAAAACATTAACTGACTCAAAGCAGAACAAGAAAAAGACAAAATTAAAATGAGAACTGCAACAAAGTAAATTCACTGTTGGAGACAAGTTATTGAAAAAAGACTTGCTAGTTAGAAAAATTTAATCACCTCAATAGAAGACAAGCCAGAGAAACGGCTAGCTACGGAGGGGGAGGAAGGGAGGAAAAGAACATTCACTGAAAAAAACACACGTAGGACACGGCCCAGGCGCCTTACTCCTTGTAACCACACCCGGTGGCATGTATCCCCTTTGCCAGGTGAAGAAACCGGAACTTAATTGAGGAATTTCCTCTACCCATTCGGAGATAAGAGTCCTAAGCCTTGGGCTCATTTAAAGGCAAAATGAGATGCCCACATTAACCTGCACTGGATGAGCCCAGCCTGGTAGCACCTAGGACTTCCGAAAAAGCAAAATGTAAACCCTCTCTGATAAAAACACTCCTCATCTGGCCTGCAGAATGCCCACTGATGAGGGGGTTTGGAGAAAACTTAGGACCTGATTGCCCAGATGTTCATGGCATAGAAATAATTTCTCTCCTCAACATCGAGACTGGTCCTAGCTGCACACCATCCTTGGGAGATGTGGAAAGCAGCCAGTTTGTTTTCTGTGGGGCTTAACGATCTCACAAAACCTTAGTTGAGAAAGGGAGCATCAAGGCCAACCACAGATGAACTCAAAAGACATCATCAGACACACCGTGAGGCAGGGTCGCCCCGACGGAAAGACAGCAGAAACAAGGGGCAACAGATTCACAGTCCTTAGGACTTCAGATACAGGGGTTTTGAGGTATGAAATATGAAACAAATATAAAATATGTGAAAATTTCCAAATAAGTTTTTTAAAATGAACAAGCAATAAAAGTCTATAAAATCGACACAGCACCTCCACGACCCATAAAAGGGTAATGTCAAATGAACTAATCCCCCCACTGGAAATAACTATAAAAGCTGAGTGAAATACATAAGGTACCACTTAAAGGCTCTAGGGACCATTCAATGTGGACAGAGCCCAAGGAGACACGATCCGTGGAAGAAGGGAAACACAGCAAGTCACCTGTGTTCACCTCGGACTTTCTCTTTAGGTCGTTTTCCCCCGTGGAGTGCAAAGAAACAGGGTCCAACCAGAAAGCGGCATCTTACTGGGACCAGGAGCGGTGGACTGGAGTTCGGGGGAGATAAAGTCTCCGGTCTTGAGGGGCAGAATCCCAGGACAGAAGTGCAGAGAGTGGCTTCCTCAAGGAGCCCAGCGCTGCCCTGGCTGCACAGGCACAGCTGGGGACACTGGTCCTGGAGGGAAATGCCCCCGGGGGCCTCATCTCACCGGAGAACACACTTTAAGCCTCAGCCTCGAAGGGTGCAGAGGACTGAGTAACTCGGATCCTGGGGGCAAAGGCCAAGAGAGACTCAACTTGGCTACGGCTTTTTATTAGGGCTGTTCTTATTTGTGTTAGCGTTCTGGTTGCTAAGAGATCTTGAGTTATTTGCTCCAATCCTATTTTTTATGTGAGTCTACTACTGTTTGGCATGGTCAGACACGCATGTCAGAACAGGAATGTCTGAACTTTGAGAAGAAAGAAAGTCTCAGTAAAGGAAGGCTTGAGATTTAAGAATGAAAGGCAACCCCCAAATTAGTAAGCCAATACAGTGGTAAATCTAAATAGTCATAGTCTCTATAAAACGATAATAACATCTATTTTGTGGGATTAAAAAAAAACACGAAAAACTAAAATGTAGCTGGGCTTGGTGGTTCAGCCTGTAATCCCAGCGCTTTGGAAGGCTGATGTGAGGGGATTGTCTGAGCCCGCGGGTTCCAGACCCGCCTGGGCAACTTGGCGAGACCTCATCTCTACAATAAATCAACAAGTTAGCCGGACATAGTAGTGCACGCCTGTAGTCCCAGCTACTCGGAAGGCAGAGGAGGAAGGTATCGCCGGAGCCCAGCAGGTCGAGGCTGTGGGGGCCGGGAGCGGCCACTGCACTCCAGTCTGGGCGACAGAGTGAGACTCCAACTCAAAAAAAAACAAAAGAAAGAAAGAAAAGAAAAACCAAAATGTGCCACTACTTTGTTAGACTCTGGTTTGGCCACATGGCTCTTTGAGCTACAGCCGCCATGTTTCCTCACTTTGGCTCCCTCTCCTGCCTTGGGGAGGCGAATCTCCTCTCTCGCTCTAATTTACTTTCTAAATAAACTATACTTTCCAATTTTTAAAAAAAAACCTAAAATGCTGGACAAGAATAGCAAGGAAGTTGGGAGAAATGTGACTTAAAAAGGTCTTGGTATTGTTAAAAAGGAAGTTAATATATAAAACAGCTATAGATTATGTTATGCAAGCAGGAAAAAGAACATAAACGGAATCCAGTTTTTAAACTAGTAGAGAGGAAAATGTGATATGTAACCAAACAAAACAATTATCCAATGTTATAAAGAAACAAAAAGAAAAAATGGGACAAATGTCATAATCTAAGATGAAAAAAGCAAGTCTAAGTAAATTAGTACTCACTATACATATAAGCAGACTAAACTTGGCAATTAAATGACAGAGCATATCCAGCTAGATTTTTTAAAACGGTTACACAGTATGTAATTTCCAAGAGACAAACCCAAAACATAAAGCTACATAATGACTGAAAGTCAAAAGATATACTTGAAAATGCTCGTTTAAAAATAAAAAACAAAGGCCGAGCGTGGTGGCTCAGGCCTGTAATCCCAGCATTTTGAGAGGCTGAGACAGAAGGATTGCTTGAGGCCAGTGTAAAAGGGAGGAAAAAAGCAGCCTCTGTCCCTGGGATTGTAAGAGGAGGGAGGCGACAGAGATGGCTTCAGCCTTGAGACAGGCGTTTCTCCCTTCCTGGAAGTTTTTCTTTGAAGGTTTCTCCTCTGTAAACATTGCAAGATAAATTGTATCTTTACCAGCTACACTAG